CCTCTAGGTTATCCTTAAGGTGCTTTTGAATTTCTTCAAGTTCCACCCCGATAACTTCCACTTGTTTATTGATCTGATGGAACTTGTCTCTGTTCAACTTCCTCAGGGGTGCTTTCAATGATTTAAGCTTCTGCAAAATCTGAAACATTGGTCTGCCCACTACTTGCTTAGACCAACCTTCCTTAATGATTGCTTGGAAACTCGGGTCAAGTCTCCACATTTCACAATATTTAAATTCATTCCTCTTAATTTGGCAATGGCTATTAGGGATGATCAAAGGGCAATGATCTGAAATCCCCTCCTCCAAAATGATTGTTTTAGATCCAAACTTTGTGACCCATTCTACATTGCTTACTACTCTGTCTAGCTTAGAGTAAATTCTGTCCCCTAGTCCTTGCTTATTCGACCATGTGTAGTATGAACCAGTATACGGGACCTCCTCTAATCCACAATCCCTAAGGCATTCTTCAAAATCTTTAGTCTCCTCTCTAGTAACTCTGCTTCCCCCAATTCTGTCATCTATATGCAACACAGCATTGAAATCTCCCAGGACACACCAAGCTCCTCTCATGGCGGTAGAGTACCTCCTGATGGAATCCCACATTGCTATCCTTTTGTTAAGATCATTATGACCATATACAAACGTAATGTAGAACTCCTCCTTGTTCTCCCTATTCATAACAGAACAATGCACGGTCTGATCTGTTGAGTCCATTACCCTTACATCGTAATTCTGCCTTTTCCAAACAACCCAAATCCTCCCATTTGGATGATTGTTATTATTGATGTAGGTGCCCCACCCACTAAATAGTTTTTTCTCTACCTCCATATATTTAGGATCTTTTATTTTTGTTTCCAAAAGCCCCATAAGGCCAATGGCATTCTTATTTATTAGACTCTTCACTGCAGCTTGTTTATTAGGACTATTCAGTCCTCTTACATTCCATCCCCCAATCATAGCAGGAAAGGAAAGTGCCCCTTATATGGGGTTTCAAATAATTCCTTATGCAACAGTATGTCATGATACCTGACCCTATCATTAGCCACTGTCATAGACCCTTTGAATGCCTTCTTTTTAACCTCCACAAACCCATCAGAATGATACCCTCCTTGTATGTTTGTGGCTGTTTCCCCTTTCTCTCCTTCTTGACTATTTACATATGACCCCTCTTGGTCACCCTCTTTACTATTTGAAACTGGTTGCCCTTGATACCCTCCTCCATGTGTGGGAGGTACTTGTATTTCCTCCATCACCTCTTTTTCCTGATTCTTCAACAGTTCCCCATGATCCTTCTGTATATTTTTTGGCTTCCAGGTTAGCCTCTGTTTACTTTGTCCCTCCTTCCGCCTACATGTAGTTTGGGTGTGTCCTATTCCTTTGCAATGAGTGCAGGTTACTGGACACCACTCATACTTGATCTTTTGTGTAATAAGTCTCTTGTTTTCATCAGCAAACAAAACCTTATCTGGAAATTGTTGATTCATAGCAACAGCTATTTGCAGCCTAGCATACTCCATTTTCGTCTTTGTTGCCGTAGCATTATTTGTTCTAATAGGCTTCCCTAGTAGGCTACCTATCTTACTCAGTCCTGACAAGCTCCAATATTTCAATTCCAAATCTGGGAGTTGTACCCATATAGGAATATCATTGAGAGCATTCAAATCAATTGTGCACCCTGGTTTCCATTTACGAACATAAACTGGCTTATTGTCAAACTGGTAATAAGTCCTACTGATTGCTTCATCCCTTTTATCCTCAGAATGGAATCACACAACAAACTGTCCAGGTTTAGAGAATTTAATCTCATCAATTGAAAATGCCTTCCATATCCTACGAATAAATCCCTCAGCTATAGATAAAGGAGGATTCGCTCCCAGTATACATACCACAGCAGCTGAATCCCAGTATGTCGCGGATGTTACAATATCATCATCAGTTAGTCGGGCAAATCTATTTCCATTCATCTCTTCTGCTTCTATATAGGTAAGTTTGCAATCAACCTTACCCACAACCTCAGCGTAGGATTTAGGTTCCGCCTCCGGATTAATCTCTGGTCCTTCTTCCTTGTTAACGCCTTCAGAGATCGGCAGATCTTCTACATCAACTAGGTCACGCTGAATCTCCTCCGATGTGTTCCGTGTAGGTACCTCTTGCACAACCCCCTCCTGGATGTGCGTTTCTGATGATGCAGGTTGATCGAAATCGCTTCGCGGTTTTGGATTAGCCGGTTGTTGCTTCTTCTTCGGTCGTCCTCTCCCTGCCATGGCTAGAGAGAGCCCCAAACGTTACCAAAAGTAATTTTTTTAGTCAATTTTCCAACATTTGGATTTTATTTATTCAAAAGTAATTACTTTTATTTTACCAAAAGTAATTTTTTATATATTTATTCATTTATTATTATTATTATTGTTATTATTAGTATTATGATTTGACTTCATGAAGTTTAAGGAAAGTGTTAAAACAGACAGAGTATAATTATAATTTGTTTAAAAGAGAGAAAAATGTTGTGAGTCACATTTATTTTAATAAAAGGAAATGGGAGAAGCGTGAACTTTTTGGGTCAACCAAATAAGAAAAGTGTGAGGTTCTTTATGGGACGGGGGAAGTATTATTATTATTATTATTATTATTATTATTATTATTATTATTATTATTATTACGATTATTTTTATTATTATTATTACTACTGGCTCTCTAGTCTATTGTAATTGTCAATGTAATTACTAGGCTTGTCATAAGAGTCAGTTTCTAAAAAGAAGAGAAAACCATATTCTAGATAACATGAAAGTAACACCAAGTAGGGAAGGTTCACACCTGCAAAATCTGATAGCATGAGTGTGTGCATGATCTTTATAACTCAGTTACAACTTAACCAATAAAACAGAGCTGGAAGAATCCATCTCTATCTTAAGAATTTGGTCAATTCCCTAAGTTATTAGAATTGAACAAAGCATTGTGTAATCAAGGAGAAAGGGCCGGAAGAATCATGCCTCCCCATCAGTTTGTAGCACTTCATCTCCATTAGAGATTGAACCCTGATGCCTACCAATGAGAATTTCATTCTTATTTTATACACGCGGCATATTACATATGCAATATATATTCAAATAAAGGTGTGATACAATATACTGCGTAATTTGAAGTAACTTTTTACGTAATTACCTTGAATGTACTGTTCTCTGTGTCACAAGGTTAAATAAAGTCTACACTTGCCTTCAGCATTTTATCTGAGAGTTTGGTTGCTTCATCGACATTACCTTGTTTGCGCAGAGCATTGATCAAAGAAGAATATGTAATTCTTGAAGGAGCAATCCCTTCTTTTATCATTCTCCCTTTCAGTCCAAAGGCTTCAATAGTATTACCATTATTGCAGTGCCCCTCAATCAAAGTATTATAGGTGATAACATTGGGAGTTAAGCCCTTTGAGCGAAGCTTTTTGAAAAGTTTAAGTGCTCTATTAACATGTCCTTTTTTGCAAAGGCCATTGATGAGAGCATTATATATAACAATGTTAGGAACAAGATCCTTTTTAAGCATTTCATCCCGTAATGCAAAAGCCTCATCAACATTGCCAGCTAACGAAACACCGTGGATCAAGGCACAATAAGTAAATTCATCGGGTACAAAGCCTTTTTCAATCAAAGCACAAATCATTTTTCTTGCATCACTTATCCGACTGATTCTACAAAGCCCTAAGACTGCAATATTATATAGAATGTTATTGGGCATGATAGAATCTTTTGCCCCCTCATCCAGGAAATTTGATATTTTTTGAACATCCATTGATCTCGAGTGGGGGCTTGAAAAGTCATTAAGACAGTTAAGTTTTAAACTAGTATCAAACCTCAATGCTTTTTGCAACAACATGAACACATCATTAGTCCTGCCACGCCTATATAAGCCACTAACAATTGAACTGAGTATGATCTCATTCAGATTCAGCCCCTTATTTATCATATCAAAATATGCATTAAAAGCTCTCTCAAGCTTTCCCTCCTTAACCCATCCAGTAATAAGGGCACCATATGTAACAACATTGGGCACTATTCCCCTTGTATGCATTTCATTAAGAAGGTCTTCAACTTTGCTCAACTTCCTAGCCAAAAAACATCCAGTAACGAGTGAATTGAACATTTCAATAGAAGGAAGGATTCCTTGCTGTTCCATAATGTTCCTGGTCCTCAAAGCTCTTTCAACCTGCCCATTTTTACAGTAACCATTAATCAAAGTTCTATAAGAAACTCCATCAGGTGAACAGCCAAACTCCTTCATTTTGTCAACAAGCTCCTCGGCTTCAATTATTTTGCCCATCTTACATAGTCCGTCAACCATTGTGTTAAAAAGAATTATGCTTTTGGTAAATCCTCTAGCCAATATATGTTTCCACAACATTGCAGCTGTTTCAAACCCGTTTGCTTGAAAAAGACCAACAAATAGAGTACCATAGCTAACCTCATCAATTGCAAAACCTCGTTTAAGCATCAAATGCCAGAGGTCCAAAGCTTTGCTGATAGCACCAGTTTGACAAAGACCTTTCAAGAGAGTATTGTAGGTTACAAGTGTTGGATCAATACCCACTTGAATCATTTCATCACATAGGTTCAACGCTTCACTTGTCAAACCTCCCCTGCAATACCCATCTAATAGGGTATTATAACTGTAAGAATCTGGTCTCAGATTCCAGCCAACCATACACCTTATCATTCCTCTTCCTTTGTGAACTTGACCAAACTTGCAATAACCATTTATAAATGAATTGCAAATAAATAGGTTCATTTTCAAGGCTAATTTTAACATCTCGTCTCGAATTCTATGTGCTTCATCAAGTTTCCCAATTTGACAAAACCCATCTATCAATACACCATACACCTGCTCATCCACGACTCCTGCCTCCATTCCTCGGAATACTTTCTCTGCTTCCTCCATATTCCCCTGCCTGCAATGTCCCTTGATGAGCAATGTGTGTGACACAACATTCTTGGATATTCCTCTCTCAACCATTAATCTTAACACTCTTTCAGCTCCCATCATATCACCCTTCTCGACATACCCGTTTATCAAACTATGGTAAGTTGCTCTATTCGCAACTAAACCCATTGCTTCCATTTTATCTATAAAATCCTCAGCTCTGTCAACTCTACCATCCTTAGAGTAGGCATTTACTATTATTGTGCAAGTGTATATATCTGGAGAAATTCCAATTCTGATCATCTGTTCATAGATGCAAAATGCAGTATGATATTCTTCCTTTTTCACCAAACAGCTCAACAAACTATTGCACGAAAGTAAGCTCGGCATACAGCCACACGCGGGCATATTATCAAACACATATAATGCATTCCTAATTAACCCTTTCTTTGCATAAATTTTAAGAAGCATATCAAAAACCGTGGGAGAAAACCTGAATTCTTTATAAACTTTAAGCAACCCATTCCATACAAGCGACTTCTGTTCCTTTTCACCAGAGAGTTCCACAAGCTCAGCTAAGAGAGACCGGGTTTCGTCGAACATTCTACCTTTACACAATATGTGGACGACTATGCAATAGGAAGTGAAATGCGGCCTGTAATAGCTCTGCTTCGAAGCTAGTTTGAAGAAACGAAGAGAAGCTACCGGGTTGAGCTTGAGCTTCAGGAGAACAGCCTCGAGGAGACCATTGGAGAAATCAATTTTGAGACTTTCAAGGGCGTTAGGGCGCCGGAGAATCAAGATTCGACATACCCGATCGATGATTTCGGATCGAGAGAGCTGGGGCTCCAGTCGGAGCCCTAGATGATGAACTGGGGTGGTGTGAATGGCGGCCGTCTGCGGCCCGAGGCGAGGGAGAAGAAGAATGAGGCGGCCATTGGAGAGAGGCATGACGGGTTATTCACAATTATTCGTCGTTGCCAGCCATTGACGGATACATCCGTATGAGCTCTTCCCCATTGGCTCTGTCCATGGATTCTAGCTGCTTGTCACTACCAACAGAGTGTCTCGGCGCGAAGAAGAGTTTATTGTTGTACTAAAAATGTTGGCATATTTTTATACGGAGTATTTTTATTGGTCATTGTTAAAATAAAATGTTATTTTCTTATTTTGCACTCTCTCTTTTCTATGAAAATTTTCTAGTTTTAATTTTTAAAGAATTGAAATTGAATGTATTTTAAGATTGATTTCACGAATGTAATATATAGGTTAAGAATTATTGAAGTTAAAATGTCTTTTTAAAAAAAATGATAAAAGCTTTTTTGAACGGATTAAAAAAGAAAAGAGAAGAATTTTTTAAGATGAAGGGAATAGATGTTAATCTACTTTTTAAATATTTAATTTATATTTTTAATTTATATCAATTTTAAAATAAAATAATTTTAAAAAATATAATTTTTTTGCATGTTTTTTTGAAATTAAATTATAATTTTAGGCCAAAGGGAGTGTGTTTGTTTGGATGGGCTATATTAAAAAATATGTGCGAATTCATCCTTATGTTTTATGGTGATTGTAATAATAAACTCAAAAAATAATTTTAATAATTTCATCTCAAATTCTCATTGCCACATAAAAAGTTAGAGCCCAATAACCTTTTAAACTTAATCCTAAACAATTTTAATGTCTTCCGGGCCTTGCAGATGCAAGAGCAAGATTGATCATACTTTATGGGTATTATCTTTGATTGCTTAAAATGAATATCGGAATTTAATTCAATATGTTTGTTTTGTGTTCGAAGCTTAACGAATTAAGTTGCTCATTTGTTGGTCAGAGCATCTAATTCTATGTCCGATCTTCTGGAGTGAAAATCTATCCCTCCAGTTAGAATTTGTGCTGCTTTACATTTGATAATTTTGAGTGGGGTTTACATTTAATTAAAATAAACAAAATAAACTAGTATCTTTGAAAACTAGGTTTACAAAAAAATGTCCTCTCATGATTCTCATCCCATGCTAATGGTGGCTTTTTACATGAAATACCCTAAACTTTGCATCTTGCAACAAAAAACTATCACATCTTAAATATGTAATAAAAAGATACCTCATCTTTTAAAAATATAACAAATGGTATTCCTTGCCGGAATTTTAAGAGTCTTGTCGGTGAGTACACATGTAGCGTTCCACTTGGCTTTCTGGCATCATCGTTGATTGGCACCACAAGATCATTGTCGTTGATCGGCACCACAAGCCTCGCCGATTATGAGTTTCTTTCTCTTTCGTTTCCCCTTTAATTTTCATCCGTCTCTCCTTTGTGAAGCATCCTGCACGCATGCACCCTTTATCTCTTCTTCTCTATTTTCTTCCTGATTGGTTAATGAGGTGGCCTTCAGCATAGATAAGACTACAGCCACTAGCCTTAGTACTTGTAAGAACCTCATGCTTAGCAGCTTGCTATTTACCACACTTGCCTAAGATCGATCCTAGGCATTATTTCTGGTAATACGCCTCACTTGCCTATCGACAAGTAAGGACTAAATTGACAATGAAGGCGAATGTCATTTTTGAGAATTGCCTAATATTTTATTTTCTTTATTCTAAAATTATCGTCTTAATTTAACTTTTGTGCATGCTCTTTTTGTCATAAATTAAACATAACTTTTATCAAATAAATATAATAAAAATTGATATATTAAAACATAATTTTAAAATGAACTCAATGACATTAAATTTGCCTTATATAAGTAATCAGTAAATACTCCATATATATTTTTCATATGTTTTGAAAACAAAATACTAGAAACCTACAAAGTTTGACATCAAAAATTTAACACGTTCTAAAATTTTTCCATAAACTTACTAATGGTCAATGTCTATGACATACAAACAACTATTGTATTGAATGTCTATGAAACATTTGTGTCAATTCTAGTAAGTGGATGTCTTTATGTATTTATAAGTCGTTGCAAACTGCTTATAAGATGTTTTTAACTTATAAGTCAACAGATGACATGTTTTTTTGTGCTTATAAGCTTACTTATAAATTGCTTGTAAGCTAGAAAAATTATCTGTTTTAACTAAATTATTTATAAAATTATCCCTCATCTATTATTAATATCCCCAAATGACTAATGTATATCATTTAAGTCATTTTATCTACACAATTCTTTTAAACTTATAAGTAATTTATAAGTTAAAAAACTAGTTATAAGTAACAAGTCAATAAGTACGAGCATAGAAAAACATTCACTAAGTTTCTAGTTTTTTTAATTTCAAAATCTATGAAAAAAATATACTCCCTCCGTGTATTTGTCCACTTTCATTTTTACACACCATCTAATGCACTTCTTTAGTCCATTTTATCTTGTAATTTGTATATTAAAAAATTATAGAAATTATATATTAATAATCTATATGTTAAGACAAATCAAACAAGATCACACATGATTATATTTAAGCTTACACATTGAGAGAATTTGATGACTCAAAGTGCTTAGATGAACAGTTCCAAAAGTTAAAACAGGACAAATATTGGGGGATGGAGGGAGTATGATGTATTTGCTCATTATTCCGTATGATATAATTTTAGGCCACGTTTTTCCATCTAATCTGATTTGGTTCTAATCTAATTGAAATAAATTTTGATTACTATTTCTGATCTAATTCTATTAAAAATAAGGGGCTGTTTGGCAACTTCTGAATAGGTAAGTTCTGAACCAGTAAGAGAGGGGTCTGAACATTAAGTGCTGAACCAGTAAGAGGTCTGAACCATTAAGAGCTAATATATTGCTTAACTATTCAGAGACAAATGTCTGATCAATTTAGATAAGAGGTCTTAACCATTCAGACTCTGTATAATACTTAACCATTCAGAGGCAAATTACTTAACCATTCAGACATCTGAACCATTAAGAGGATGAAACAAACAGTCTGAACCATTAAATTCTGAACCATTCAAACATCTGAACCATTAAGAGTCTGAAACAAACCGCGTAAGTAACAAGTAAAGAGAATAACAACATAAAAAATTTTAAAAAATTGAAGTCTGAGCGTTAAGGAAGTATGCCCTCCCTTCCACAGAAACCAGGACATGTCTCCAAACCCTGCAACACCACGTCGCCGCGCACGCCATGGTTAAGGCCTTTATTTATGCAGTGAAGTCCCGAAGCGCTGAGCTTCTGAGCGTATTTAGGATATCGTCTCAAACGGAGTCCTCGGAGATTGTTTCATTCCAAACTTAGAAGCCACAAGGAAGAGAGAGGGGGCAGCGATTTTCACCTCTGGAGTAATCAAACATTCAGAATATGGCAATTGACTGTCTGGTTTTGGGTGAGTAAATTCTTAGCCCCCCATTGAAGATGATAGTCTACCTCTTCGTTTTGCCAGAGTGCGTATGTTATTGAAAATAAGCATTGATGCAAGTATGAACTACAGGGGCGGGGCAAGAGGTGGGGAAGAGTTGCGTGGTGGCGACGATTAATGGAAAGCGGATAATGTTTGACTGCGGCATGCACATGGGCTTCCTGGATCACCGCCGCTATCCTGATTTCTCGATGATCTCCCCGTCTGGAGATTTCACTACTGCCCTATCTTGCATCATTATCACCCATTTGTATGGTCCCTGGTTCCCCTTTTTTACTAAATTTGTCCGTCTTTCTGCCTTCAAATGAGAACTCATTCTTCTAGTTTTGCATTATCATGGGTGATATTGGGATTTCATTTGAATGGTTGATGCAGCCACTTGGATCATATAGGAGCTCTTCCATATTTCACTGAAGTTTGTGGGTATAATGGGCCAATTTACATGACGGTAATATCCCTCCAATGTTTTATGGGAATAGTTTTTTTTGGTTTCTTCGCACTGGGCTGTTTTACAGTAATTCAGTGGGGATTTTAATTCTCATTTCTTTCTGGGTGACATAATGGCTCATCAGTATCCCACAAAAGCTCTGGGTCCACTAATGCTGGAAGATTACCGTAAAGTAATGGTTGATAGGAGGGGAGAAGAAGAGCAATTTACTGCTGAAAATATCATGGAATGCATGAAGAAAGGTATCTGCTCTTCATGTTAATGTATTTCAAGGCCTTTGGGTTCTGGCGACCAAACTGGTCTATGATAGTGCTTCATACTTATTTAATGGATTCATTCATGATATGCGTGCCGATGCTTGTTTTGTCCAGTTTGACATTTTAGTCAAACTGGGTGAACTTTGATTATCACTCAATAAAAATTGCATTGCATATTAATAAGAAAATAATTTCAGTAGGTTTATTTTACAAACAACTTTCAAAAAGTTATTTCATTGTATTAATATGTGATGCAATTTTATTTAACAAATGGATTTATCCAGTTTGATTGATGGGACGGAGGGATTATTTATTATTCGTATTGTTACTACAGATTGTTAGGACTCTTAGGAGTGGACATTGTTCAAGTTGAAATCCTTGTGTCCAAAAAATCTACCTTTTTTCTAAAACAAATCAATATCAAGACAGATTTTGATGAAATTAATTAGAGGACTTTATAAATAGTTAAGCAGCTACTTTTTCAAGGGAACAGCTACTGAAGTGCATTTGAAACCTTGAATAATTTTCTTGTCCAAAATTTTTACATCTGCACCTGTGACCCTCTACATGCATACATTGAAGCTCATAATTTGCGTGCCTGAATCCGTATGCAGTTATAGCGGTGGACGTGAAGCAGACCGTGCAAGTTGACAACGATCTACAGATTCGTGCATACTATGCGGGACATGTGAGATATTGAACTTAATCTTTTATTTATTCCAAATTTCCATTGACTTCAGGGTTTTCCATTATCTTGTTGCCCTGTGAAGGTAATACAGTTTTGACTAGCTAGAAAACCAAGGCACTTACACTTTTTTTCTGCATCGTTTTCTTCTAAGAATCTAAGCTGATCCACCTTTAGATGTTATTTGAGTTGATTAGTGAAATATGGTAGGAGTAAGGACTAAGGACTGAAGGGCATGCTCATATTTTTCATTTGTTTAATGGTTTCTATACTTGAGATTGCAAATGATCTTTTTTGGGGTTGTGTGGTTCCATATGACTTTCCTTTTCTCTAATTGCCATGCTATATTCGATGATTGGCAACCTTGTTTCTAGGTCCTTGGAGCTGCAATGTTCTATGCAAGGGTAGGAAATGCCGCTATGGTATATACAGGAGATTACAACATGACACCTGACCGACATCTTGGGTCTGCTCAAATTGACCGGCTGCAGTTGGACCTCGTAATTACTGAGTATGTAATGCCACTACATTTTGCGTATATCGTTTCTCGAAGTTGCTTATGTGCATCAGGTCCCATTTATTCCTGTTACAACTTTTCACCATTGAACATTGCTTTGATTCACACTCCTTGGAGAATGGGCACCGGTTTGCTTTAATAATTACTTTTCAACACTAAACATAATTACATAGGCTCCCTTTAGAGCGGATAAATGGGCACGGATGAAATTGGTAGAGTTTAGGAAGTTATGTGTGCACTTCTGAAGACGAGTATAGTAAATGCCATCAAGAATTTGATCATGGTATATATTGTAAAGATTTACTCGTATTTAATTAAAACAAGTGTACTTTGTTTTACTATTATAATTGTGATAAATGGGATATTAATAGTAATTGTGATCAATTTAATAATAATAAAAATGTTAAAGGGAGCGACTGCAATCCTATATCCCTATATTTTTGTTTTGATATAAATTATATTTATGCATTTTGTTCAATCGCATAAGAAAAAAGTGGAATAATGTATGGTTAGTATTAGTTTTTATGCTCACTTGCTAATATTTGAACGAGAAATGTGAGATCTGTTCCCCCTAAATTTTGTAGTTTTTTATTTCCTAATTTTGAACTTTTTCCATGTATATTTTTCTTTTACAGGTCGACTTATGCAAATACATTTCGTGATTCAAAATATGCTCGTGAAAGAGAGTTTCTGCAAGCAGTAAGAAAACTGATATTTTTGTACCTTGAGGTGATCTAAGAGGCTGGGAGAACACGTATTAAAGAAAGCAGTTCATATATTGAAAATTAGTTGGTCATAGGTTTGAGTGATCAACGGTAGAGGTGAAATATCTTTTGAAACATCTCATGGAGTACTATTGAAATAAAAACTAAGATTTGCATATGATGTAGAGAAGGCATATGATAATGCAGTTAATAAAATACTTTGGAGAGCTATGGTATATAGAGTACTATTACCTCTGTCCCAAAAATGACCCTTTATGGAACTCTGCCTAACTTTGACCATTGATTTCTCTCAAAACGCATTGTTGAAAATTATAATTTATATCTAAGTTTATTTACTAGCGAAAGTAGTTTCATTATTTTGTAAACTTCAAGTTTTGTGAGATTTCAATATTCAAAGTTTGGGAAGGTTTCACTCAAAATTTTGGGACGCAGGGAATACCAGTAAAGTATATTCACAAGCAAACACATGCATTGAGAAGTGGACACAAATAACATACTCTCTCCGTCCAAATTTAATGTTCCCGCTTTGACCGGGCACGGAGTTTAATAAAAGTTGAAATTTACATTGACTTTCCCAAAATATCCCCACTTTACCACTACCCCACCCATTTCTATCCTGCGGTTTTCTGCCTAAATTACCGCCGCCCAACCATCAGAACCGGCCAGAAAAATGTCTTGCGATCCAAAACTATGGAATTTCCGGCCAAAGAGAAATTTCTCCCAACCTGAATATTTTAGAATCATCATAGGCATCTTTCAGGCCAAATCGAGCTGTTCCCGGATGAAAAAGATTTGAAGAAGAAGATGAAGATCCTTCATCACCGATGTTCTCCTTACAGATCTGAATCGGAATCACCGATGTTCTCCTTACAGATCTGAATCGGAATCACCGATGTTCTCCTTACAGATCTGAATCGGATTTCTAAGATCTGACGAAGATATGAGCGATCGAATTGGAAAGAAGAAAAAAAAGAAGAGGAGATGAAGATGGAGGGTGGCTGGACCAAATCGGAAGAGTGGGAGGGGGGAGAAGAAAAGAAAGAAGAAGAAGACAAAAAAACAAAAGAAAAAATAGGTTGGTAGAACAAATCGGAGGGGGGGGGGAGAAAAAGAGAGAGGAAGAAGGAAAGAAGAACAAATGAAAAAACAGAGAAGAAAAATCAGAAGGAGAAAAAAAAGGAGAGAAGAAGAAGAAAGGAGAGAAAGAGAAAAGGAAAAGAAAGAAGGAGAAATGGGGAGTGGGTGCGGCAGGAAGGAGAAAAGGAAACAAATATGATGTGGAGGGTACTTTAGACATTTTGATATATAAAAATTACTAAAAAAGGAAATGGGAACATTAATTGTGGACGGACCAAAAAGAAAAGTGAGAACTTTAATTTTTGGACGGAGGGAGTATTTACTACTTCTTTTAAATATTGGTGATTCATACTTTATTTGTGTCATTGTGTGTTAAAAATATGTTTATAGGTTCACAGTTGTGTTGCTGCTGGGGGGAAGGTGCTAATTCCAACATTTGCCCTGGGCAGAGCTCAGGTAGTTCAGTAATGACATTTTGTTCTAATTAATGTCCTTGTGTGATTAGATATATGCCATTTTTCCTTCGATTGCTTTATGTTCATAAAATAATGATAGCTTTAGTGTCAATTCAGTGGTATAGTTGAAATATCTGGGTAAGATTGTCACTCACTTGTTGGGGCCTGGGGGATTAACTATGAGTAATAGGAGATATTTTGGGGACTAAAGGATAAACCGCAGTCACAGTTTAAATTTCAGAGTTTAGTGTTGAATCTAGAGTTCTTTGCCACAGTGGTCTCATAAACTAAATTACATGTAAAAATCCCTCAACTTGTATTTCTAGTTGGGCAGGAGCTTTGTTGTATTTCAGTATAAAATAAAATTTCAATTGTAATGTTTGCTTTGTCCAGTTAAAGCATTAGATGCTCAATGCTCCATGTTCAGAGAATACATATTTGATGTGTTGAATAATGTGACAGTATGTTAGCAATGATTCGTGGGATCCATTTGGGTCGTTGTTGTTATGTTAGCAAAGATGTGGGACACATGTATCAAAGGTGCAGTAGGGCGCACAAGCGGATCAAAGACGAAAATTACTTGTCTAATTATGATTGAAATTCCTTTAATTATATGTTGCTTTCTATTTTTCCAGCATTTCCTATGACAATTAAAATTTCGTGTTAGTCTTGTATTAGGTCTCCTATTAGTTATCAATTTATTATTAGAAGTTATCTTGTAATCTTCTTTATAAGAAGGGATGATTTGTTCAATAGAGCATAGTTTTGAAAGGCGAAAGGCAGGCGAGAGGGCCTTTTGTATTTTCCATTTCAACTTGAACATGGTTCTTAACCCTTCCAACTACAAGTTGTTTCAGCCTGAAATATAATTTCAATTTCGCACAAGTTGAAATTTGACTTTTAACCTCAAGTCAAATCATTTGTATCGAGGAGGTTGTGTTGAAAATCATCATTAACACGCTTGGAGTATATGGTGCTCTAGTTTGAGCATGAGTATTGAAGTGTATTATGTGTAATGAAACTTTAGATGGCTTGACCTTTTAATTTTGTGATATGCAGTTATGATCTCAGTGATTAACCCAAAGCTGATAATCCCAATGATATACATACATACATACATACTGTTATATCTGGGCCCGGCCCTATCCTACCCTCCCCCATGTCCCACACTCCCATGGGAACCAAAGGACTTACGTTCAAACATTATGATCCATTTTAGTAACAATTCAAAGTCCTTTAACCCGGAAGGCCAAATAACTTTCGTTTTTGACCTCGGGGTTCCGCTGGCCAATCCTCTTTTCGTCCAACCCAACCCCAAATATCCAAAAGTATTTTTTTTTCTTTTGATATCCAAAATAAAGTTCTTCCTACTCTTATTTTAGCCCCAGGCCGAAAATAAGAATGTGTAAAATAAAACCTTTTGTTTGTTGTTATTTTCCTTCTTTAAAAGCCTTTATTGAGCCAATAAAACCCTCCCTTTATTCCATTCACCCCCTGGCCAAAATACACTTCACAATCCCAACATAAACACCCACAAAGAGCCAAAACCATGACCCACCTCCAGCCCCTANCCCGGAAGGCCAAATAACTTTCGTTTTTGACCTCGGGGTTCTGCTGGCCAATCCTCTTTTCGTCCAACCCAACCCCAAATATCCAAAAGTATTTTATTTCCTTTTGATATCCAAAATAAAGTTCTTCCTACTCTTATTTTAGCCCCGGGCCGAAAATAAGAGTGTGTAAAATAAAACCTTTTGTTTGTTGTTATTTTCCTTCTTTAAAGCCTTTATTGAGCCAATATAACTGTCCCTTTATTCCATTCACCCCCTGGCCAAAATACACTTCACAATCCCAACATAAACACCCACAAAGAGCCAAAACCATGACCCACCTCCAGCCCCTACTTCCTGCCCATGTTTCCCTCACAATAACCCAAAGCCATAACTCCAAAACACCCATAAATAATACCCAGCCCTGTCCCCTTTTATTGGCCAAAACATCCCCCCGTTTTACCCAAATAATAGCCACAAAAAACCCAGGAAACAACCACAAGGAACCAAAACACAAACCCCCACAACACCAGCCCCATCCCTGAATTTTATCCCATTAAGGAGACATGTTTGAATGAAGAATGCCCCATGCTTTGAGAGAGGATGTTGCTAGGAAGCTTCCTCATGTTCACATTCAATGTATTATGTATTTTCTCCTTCCCCTCTCCCTATATAACTCAGGCCATATGGCCATTGTAACACAATCTTTGAATATTGAAAACCATTTACTCTTTGAGTATTATTAAAATAGTGTGATGCTATTTTAGCCAAATTCCTAATTCTATATCTTAAGAGTGGTTATCTTAAGTGTGAGTTTTAGGTTCTAGATATTTGATTAAGTGTGTAATATCTTAATTAAATTCTAGATTCAAACCCCAAGTTAGGATAAGAGTGTGTAATATCTCTTAAACACCATCTTGGTTTATTCATCCCTGATTTTCTCCCATTTCATATCCCTCCATTTCTCCTTCTTAATCCTATTCTTTTCTTCCATAAACTACCAAAAGGAACTCCTAAAACACCCTCCATACTTTCGCCCACTATTTCCCTTCCATTTTCCTCCGCAAATCCGCCACTAAATTATCAACTTGATAAGACCCCCGGTTCACCCCTAACACATACATACATATACATACATACGTACACACACACACACACACATATTACATTTATAACACCAGATCTTGATTGTGTTAGGTTTACTATGCTCTTGATTGTTGTTCTTCATTAGACACCCTAGATGTGATCGATTTTATTGCCACTCAATATATGTTTTTTCTTCATTGTGTATATGAGACTACATTTCTAATCTGAATTTTGCTCATGTTATCTGTCACAGGAAATATGTATGCTCCTCGATGACTATTGGGAGCGTATGAATCTTAAAGTTCCTATTTATTTTTCAGCAGGTTTGTTTCCTCCTTACTTTAACTTATTTGTAGCTTTATGGTGCTATTTTTTTCATTAATTGCATATCCTTATTACTAGTACATGTTTCTTGGTAACATGCTATAGGAGGCACATTTGTCTTGTCCTTGATTTTGTTCTTTGGCGTGTAGGTTATCAAAATTATTTTAAATTTAATTTTTTTTAAAAAAATTGGTGTATGAGTAAAAAATATAATTTCTATTTTTAAGAATTACATTAAAAAATCTACAAAACTATAGGTGACATGACTATTTTTTGTCAAATAATCAATGAGAATAGGCAAAGGAAAAAGATAATGTTTGACTCGTGAATAGGAGAAGATTGCATTCTTTTGGGGATGGAGCTTGGAGGGAGTACTATTGATGCATTTGTGTAACTCTGTATGAATTTGATTCACTTGTTTTTGTTGGAAATCGAAAAGGTCTCACATTGGTTAGTATGGATGCAATATAGAGTATAAAAGCTTTCACATTAAAGTAGGCTATAACCTATTTCCTTAAGGTATTGGGTCAACATGTGGGGTCCAATTTACTTATGCAAAAGGCGATATCGGGTGAGTGCCTCTCTCGCCTTAGTAGTTGGCACAAGGCGGCAACCCCTCTCGCTTTTGTTCCTATGTGGAAACCTGACTCCGCGGACATAAACAAAGCTTTGGGATTGGGCTCATAAGTTAAATACTTTAGAGAGTAGTCCTACCTAGGGATGGGCAAACACGTTTGGATTGAATCTGAATCAACGGGGGCAACACATGTCTTTCTATTTTTTGTGTTTGATTCACGTCGAGACATATTGCCCTGTTATAAGATATATTTCATCATAGATTAGTTTTAATAGATAAATAGAAAGTATTGAATTGAAATTTGCCGCAAGAAATCTGCACCTGGGACGAGGATTGAAATTGACCTCCAAATCTGGTTCCCCCTTCTTATTGTTTGTCTGTTCCTAGGGTCGTGGTGTACCCCGCTAGAGTTGTGCGGCCTACATCGTTAGAGAAGAGAATTAGCCGGTGATGTGGTTTTACACGGCTTACATCACTAAATTGATTTTGGAATCGATGGAGTGCTTAAGCAACTAAGGTTGCAGAAGTGGGAAACTAAATACTAAGGGCTGATGGGGATTTGAGCTTAGAGTACACACATGGGTGGACCTACTCATGGTTAAATGGAGTCAATTGACTCCACTTGACCATGTATAATTTTTATATATTTAGTAGTTTAAATATATATTTGCGTGGATTAGTTAGCTCTGACCTTGCTCCCTCAACCCAGCAATTGCAATTCGAATCCCAAGTTAGGTAGGCATATTTTTTTTTGAAATGTTTATGTTTATATACATGGATTTTGTAATACATTCATAAAATATTTTTAATCATTGCTAGTTCATTCATTTGATTTTTTACGCTCTTCAATGTAACATTTTAAATACTACGGAGTACTATCTGTATCTATATATTAATATATAGGGTAAATTTCACCCATGGTAAACGAACTTTCATCATTATTTCACTTCGGTATATAAACTTTAATTTCTATCACAAAAGCACACGAACTTTCAACATTCTTTCACCGGTGGTCCAATAGGCGGTTTCTAAGTCACCTTCAGGTCATTTGGGGTCAAATTATAATTTTATAATTTTATATTTTATGATTTTGACCCCCTTTTTTTCTCTTGATTCTCCACCCTTCATCTTCTTCAGCACTCCCCACCCTCCTCCTCTATTTTTTTCATCTCTTCCTCT